CCCCAAAACCCCAAAACCCCCACTTTACTTTTATAATAAATCAAGGTAAATTGGAATATAGGATTAATAATAATGCTTTATTGAAGGCAAATTCTAATTATAATTTATAGATAATATAATGAACGAATGTAAGCAAAACTTACTTTATATTTCTTGAGTCATAACATCTATTAGATTTTAGTGGTAGTAGTTAGAATAGATATGGTAGCATAAGTGTTAGCGATCTTGAACTAACTAAAAGTTGAAGAATGTTCAAGTATAAATATGTGCCCACTCACTACTAAAATATATAAGTTACAAAGGACAACGTGAATCAGATAGACTTTGGCAAAATACTTGAATCCTTTGACATGAAATGTACTGATTAAATTCTTAATTCTTAGAACCTTTCTTTATTGGAATGGATGATTTGGATTTCTTAAAGAATGATGACAACAAAAAGTTTAACTGGGTAGATTTTTCAAATAGAGTGATACCGTTTATGACAGATCTTGAAGCAAAAAAACTTGTTAGATAAAACCTGAAAAGCTTTGAAAAGTCTAAAATATTAAACTCAATTAGAGTTGATTCAAGTTAACTCTTAAAGTCTGAGAAGATGGAATAAGATGAAAATAATGATAGTAGTAGACGAACTAATGAAAGAAGAGGTCTTCTAGCCAGTCATCTATCTTCTAAAAACGGTGGTGACTCTAAGTTTCACATTAAAGTATAGAAATAACAAAAAATGAAAGGTAATATTTCATTTCATAATCTTAATAGGCTCAGCATAAAGAAGAATGTAGACAAAAATGTAATATATATTTATAAGTCTCATATTTTAGTCATGATAATGATAAAGCAAAATTTCATGAATAACTAAGGAAGCAATCTAGTACCATCAGAATAATATAGGCAGAATTATAGCAAAGAAAATATCTTAATCTAGAAAGATTTAATATGATGCATCCTCCATTATAGAAAAAAGATATTGAAAAGATTAATAGAGCACAAAGAAAATATAGTTTAAGCAGCGAAAAATTGAGTGGAGTGTTGTATGACCATGACTATTTTTAGATAGATGATTTCATATAAGACTAAAGAAAAAAATCTTGTTGCTGTTCAAGATGTTATAATAAGAAACCTAAATACCTGGCTAAGTAAATTATAACTTTGATTCATTTCATTTTTATAGATTAAATATGAGAATTCTTAAAGTTTAAAGAGGACTTGATCAAAGAAGATATACCAAGGCTGCCTCTAGACTTAAAGATGAAGTGAATCTAATTAGAAATGTTAATGCAATATCGCTACTACATAAAAAAAGCACTGCGAGGTTAAATGTTGAGACAAAAAATTAACAAAATCCTTAAAAAAGAGGATCGCTAATGTTTGGAAACGGAACAGAACTTAAATCCCCGAATATGGCATCAAGGTTTAATTAAAAAAAGAACCAGAATAATGTAAGGAGTCCTTCAACATCCTCTGTATCAGAAAAATCAGTATCTGATTCAGATCAGTAAGCTAAAAATCTCAAAGTAGATCCTCAGAAGAAAAAACCAATTTCTTCTCTCAGGAAAAGTATTAGGCAGAAGAGCAATTCTTAATACTCTGTTATAAAGGCCCCTCCTAGCAGATCTTACTCTTGCATATCTTCAAACTCAAAAGCATCTCCAGCTAGTAAGAATTAAAGCCCTACTAAATAACAATTCGATGATCATCAAGATAACAACTCTAGGAGAATTAGATTTGATGAGAACTTCAATCACGTTGTGAGCATTAACGAACTGTACGATGGAAGTAAATTAGGTGTCATAAGCAACCTCAAGAAGAAACTTCAGAGAACATACACTGATTAAAGGAAAGCGGTTCAATAACAATAGTCTTGGGAGAATATTGATGTTGTCATCCAAAATACATTAATTCCACCAAAAATGCAGGAGATAACAATGCACACATACAAGTCTCAGATAATTCATGAGCAGAAAAAAATTGCTTAGAAAATGAAGCTGTACGAGTCATCTAAGAAAGACAATTAACGTCCAGAATTAAAGATAAAGCTTTAAGATCAACAGAAAAATATGGAATAAACAAGCAAGTAGAAGAAAACTACAGAGAAAAATATGAAAATTCTTAAGAGTGTGGAAAACAGATTTGAAATAATTAAATCTTTATAGAAAACTATTAAAATGTCTAAGACCCCTTGCATCTAATCCATGGCTTAAAGTGCGGTAGATATTTATACGAAACAAGATTCTAAAACTTAACTTGAATAGCATTAAATGATACAGAGGAAAAATTCAAAGGATATTTCTGTTATTCCATGTCACTCTAGACATTTAACTTAAAACTTTACTGGAATAAAAACTTACAAGGATCAGATTTAACTTTATAATCAAAGTGTGAAGCAATCTTCCTAAGGTTAGAGGCATTAATATTATGATTCCTCTAAATAATTTGCTAGTAATATACATTCTCCCCTAGCAAGGCTTGGTAGTGGAGCAGATTCAAACACCAAGTTCGAACTAAACTTGAGAATATAGACTGCCTTAGATATGAGAATATAGACTGCCTTAGATAACTTAGGATCTCGTAAAAAAAGTAAAAAACGAAGAGTAATATCTGAGATTCTCTCTAGTGAGAAAATAAAATAAATTAAAACATGAATTATACAATTAAAATTATTTATATTCTTAACCAAAGAAAAATTCCTCTCGGGGTTTTGGGGTTTTGGGGTTTTGGGG